TAGTAGACCTATGTTTGGAAGCGAAGGCGTTGTTATGGTTCTAGTGGAAGGACCATAGGAGACCTATACGGAGCTGGAGAGCATTCAAGGACTGTTTATTAGACTGTTTATAAACCGACATGAGAGGGGACTTCTATGAGCAATTTTTTGCACTGGTGCAGAAATGATCAGTGGCAAACTATCGGGAGTTGTTCGAGCACCTAGCTAGCCGGGTGAAGCAATTATTGGAGACTGCATTGGAGGGAACTTCATGAAGGGGCTCAATGCAGAAATCAGAGCGGTGGTGAAAGTCATGATGCCTCGTGACTTGGTAGAAGCCATAAAGTTGGCACAACTGGTGGAGAATCAGGTCCTGCAACAGGAGGATTTCGTGGGACCACCCAGGAGAAGACATTAGGAGGGAGCAGTGGAAATATCAAGAGGTTGATGGAGAAGGAGATATAGGAGAATAGGGTAAAGGGGTTGTATTTCAGGTGTGATGAGAAGTATATCCCAGGGCATAGGTGTAGAGACCGAACTCTTTAGGTTCTCATCGTCTGTGATGACACGGAAACTGAATGAGGCAAGGGAGAAGTATAGGAGGAGATAGAAGAGAAGATGCATCTGGATCTCGAAGAGGTTTCTCTAAACTCGGTGGTAGGATTCACCATAAATCATACCATGAAGGTGAAAGGGGAGATAGGGGACAAGGAGGTGGTGGTTCTGTTTGACAGTAGGACTACCCACAATTTCATTTTTACTCAGGTCGTCGACCAACTGTGAGTAAAATTGGTGGGCACCGGTTGTTATGGGGTGATGATGGGTATAAGAAAGGTAGAGAGGAGTGATGTTGACCATCCAGGGGATTCAGGTGAGAGAGGAATTTCTTCCACTGGAGTTAGGAAGTACATATGTCATATTTTGGATATTAAGTGGCTACAAACCTTAGGGGACACCAAGGTCAATTGGGGAGTTAGATTAGAGGAGGGGGACATACCCCTCTCCATATAGTCGTTGATCCAGCAATTCCAGGAGGTGTTTCAGCCGCCTCAAGGATTGCCTCCACCAAGGGAGAACGAGCATGCAATCACCTTGAGGGAAGGTGTATCACCCATCAGCGTTAGACCTTACCTCTATCCTCAATTTCAGAAGATGTGATTAAGAAGTTTATTAGAGAAATGCTAAAGGCGGGGATCATTAGGCCCAATGTTATTCCTTTTTCTAGTCTAGTATTACTAGTTAAGAAAAAGGATGACAGCTGAAGGTTTTGTGTGGACTACAAGACGATGAACAAGGAGACTAGGCCAAACAAGTTTTCTATACCAAAGATTGATGAACTCTTGGATGAGTTGAGTGGGACAGTGATCTTCACCAAGATAGATCCGAAGTCAGGATATTATCATATCACAATGAAGGAGGATGTTCCCAAGTCTCTTTTCAGAATTCATGAGGGGCACTAAGAGTTTCTGGTGATGCCTTTTGGCCTCACTAATGCCCCTGTCGCATTTTAGTCTCTCATGAACAAGGTCTTTAGACCTTACCTCAAACGATTCATCTTGGTGTTTTTTGATGATATCCTAGCGTACACCAAGATAGAGGAGGAACATTATGAACACTTAAGGAGGGTGTTAGAAGTGTTACAGGAGCATCAACTAAGGGCCAACCTGAAGAAGTGTTGTTTTTCCCATATTAGTGTGGAGTATTTGGGCCATATTATGTCCAACGAGGAGGTGACAGCATGTCAGTCAAAAATTGAGACCATGTTAACATGGTCATTACCTAAGAATCTGAAGGAGCTGAGAAGATTCTTAGGGCTGACAAGATACTACAGGAGGTTCGTGAAATGGCACAACACCATAGCATGACCACTAACAGTACAATTGAATGACATATTCCTATGGGGGGAGGTAGCCACAATAGCTTTTGAGAGTCTGAATAAAACTATGATGACTGTACCAGTTTTAGCATTATTAAACTTCACCCAGGTGTTCGTAGTAGAGACATATGCTTCAGGATATGGGTTGGGGGTAGTGCTCATGCAAAATCATCGATCCATTGCCTATTTCAGCTAGGTGTTGACAGCTAGGGTTAGACTGAAGTAAGTTTATGAGCGGGAGTTGATGACCATTGTACTAGCCATCCAGAAATGGTGGCCTTACCTATAAGGTAGGCATTTCGTTGTCAGGACGGACCAGTGAAGCTTGAAGTACTTGTTGGAGCAGTGGATGGTGGCTGCTGGGTTATGATTTTGAGATCCAATACAGGCCATGAGTGGAGAACAAGGTGATAGATGCCTTGTCTAGATGTATGGGGGAGTTGCAGGCAACAATAGTGTCAGTTTCATTGATGTTAGATTGGGAAGCCATCAAGGAGGAGAGTGCTCGAGATGAGGAGTTGGGGAAGATCAAGGTTGATTTACTGAGGGAGGAGAGTCCATCCGGGGTATTCTTTGGTGGGGGAGAGACTTCTGTACCAGGGGAGGTTTGTGATGCTTTAGACATCGGTCCACATTTTATACTTATTCCAGGAGTTCCATGGGAGCATTGTTGGGGGACATTTAAGGGTGCAAAAGACCTACAGGAGACTAGCTTCAGAGCTATACTGGAAGGGGATGCATAAGGATGTGGATGAGATGTTCGTCAGATGTGAGGTCTGTTAGAGGAGCAAGTACATGGTGATGTCTCCAGGAGGATTATTACAACCACTTGCTTTACTAGGCCAGGTTTGGGAGGAGGTGTCCATGGATTTCATGGATGGTTTACCCAGATTAGAGGGCTTCACAATGATACTAGTGGTGGTGGACCGCTTGAGCAATTATGCTCATTTCATTCCCCGACGACATCCATACACTACAGTGATAGTGGCATCAACCTTCATCAAATAAGTGGTCAGATTGCATGGATTACCAGAGGCTATAGTATCTGACAAAGATAAGGTGTTTCTCAGCCATTTTTGGAGAGAGTTCTTCAAACTATAGGGGACAATATTAAAGAGGAGCACCGCCTACCACCCATAAACGGATGACCAAATAGAAGTGGTTAACAGGTGTTTGAAAACTTACTTAAGATGCTTTGTGTCAGAGACACCCAAGTTATGGGCCAGATGGCTAGCATGGGCCGAGTATTAGTACAACACATCTTTTCATTCTACTTCTCAGATGACCTCATTTAAGGTGTTGTACGGAAAGGATCCACCTCACTTAGTGCACTATGGGCATAGCAGCACTCCTGTTTCTTCAATGGAGGGGTACTTGGAGGATAGGGATAGGATATTGGAAGAGTTGAAGAGGCATCTACTAAGAACTCAATAGATTATGAAGAAGCAGACATATGGGCATAGGAAGGACATCCATTTTGAGGTAGGGGAAAAGGTGTTCTTAAAGCTCCTACCTTACAGGCAAAGATCAGTAGCCAACATGAGAAATAAGAAGCTTGCCCCAAGATGCTTTGAGCCATATGAGATATTGGAGAGGATTAGAGCGGTGGCTTACCGGCTAAGACTACCTATAGCAGCGACGATACACCCGGTGTTTCATGTATCTCAATTGAGGCAGAACTCAGATCATAAAGTCCTCGCAAAATGAGGGCGAAATCTATGGGTAGTGTCTTATCTACAAACCCATCTGCCTTCCAAAATTTACCTCAAAACTTATTCAGTTAAAGCTCCCTCGCCGAATAAAAAAGAAAAGCGCGGCGGGGAGGCCGGGGTCGAATTTTCGGAGCCCACAGCCAGGGAGAAGATGGTGCTAAGGAAGTGTTGATGAAGTCGAAAAATCTCCTGGACTACGATGCCACATGGGAGTCATATGAGAGAGTGAAATACCAGTTTTCTTGTTTTCACCTTGAGGACAAGATGATTCTTTGGGAGGGCAGTAGTGTTAGATCGGCCCCTTCTAAGGGGCCAGTTCAAGTCTATAGCAGGAAAGGGCGGTAGCAAGAGAGACAGAGGGTGGGGTCTACTTGATTTCAAATTCAAAATTAGATCCGAAGGAGGGGGTGACAAGGGCCTTTAGGTCTTTTTGTTTTATTGTTTTAATTGTATGCCTTGAGTATGAGAGGGAGATTAGGATTAGGGTTATGTTTGATTATTGTGTTCTTGTGAGTGTTCTTCTTGGTGTCTTGGGCTTTAGATTCATCTAGAGATTGGGAGAGACGTTCCTCCTCTCGAATTGAGGATCAATTTTATCGTTGTTTTCATTAGTTTTCTCTTTTGCAATCCAATTATAATTTGGAGAGTTTTCCACCAGATTTGTGTTTCTCTCTTGCTGTTTTTCCTTATTCTTGTTAGAGTTTACTTGTAATATTCAAGTATTTTCTATCAATGCCACTACCATCTCTTGACTATTGGGAGGTTGGTGGATCAACTGTCCTCACATCGACCACTGTCTGGAGTATGCTTGCCGTAGGCTGCCAACTTGAACTCCTTTGGTCTTAATAAATCATAAAAGTCAGGATATCCTAATTATTTTGATCACTATGAATTTGAGTCATTTATCTTAAGCGCAACATTTCTTTTATGGTTCATTGACCATCTTCTCATGATAAGTTCATTTTCTTTGATCAAATCTGAATAGTTGGTGGCCAGTTATGTGGTGAATAATTTTAGCAAAAGAGTTTTTTTTTTTTCTTTTCTCACTTAACTCATCCCTTATTTGCATATTCGCATCGGACTGGTGAATCTATCTTTCCATCGAAGTGTTTCACTGTTTATAAGAAATCAGCTGTCCGATCTGTATTCCAGGTGAAGGACTGCAAATCTGAAGATCACAGAGGCTTCCGGAATAGCCATTTAGTCATATTGCCAGTCTCTGCCATGTCTAATCCCCAGTTAATATATCCTAGATATATCTGATTTTTTAATTAATTAGGAATAAATGGAAGATTAAATGCTTTGACCTTCAGCTCTATCCTGATTTATTGCTTTTTTACTTACCTTTCATCAATAAGCCAAGTTGCCCTTCAAAATTTGTCTGCGTCCCAATGGGATTAAATATTGATGTCAGAACAGCTTCAAATCTACAGGTGGAAGGCACAAGCTCCCTTATGTTAGAACTTGCTAAAGTTGCCGCACAAGAACAAGCTTTGTTAGATCAAACCAGGGATCTCCTATCGACAATAGCAGCATTACATGTAAGTTTGGAGATACCCGTATGCTATATTTCCTATAATATCGAATTTAAAGTTCAAGCAAAACCTTAAACAGGTCAAGCAATGTAGCCTGCAAGGCCATCTTCTTCAACTAAAACGTAGAACCAGCCATATACAACTGTAGAGCTGACTCTTTCACAACCTCAATGACAACTAACACCATTTCAACCTTTTCTAACTGAAGATTGGATCAAAAGCTGATGTTAGTTTGTTGGGTGTAATGTAGTTTTTACCTGATTCAGCCTGATAATCTCATTTGCCTTGGCTGATTCATGTTTTTTTTGGTATGCAATCACCATAGAAATGGCCCTTTTGCGCTTCAGTAACTATATGCTGATCAAAGCGAAGCTTTTGTACATATTTTAATGGTTTTTTTTTCTCATTTGTAAGGGTATTTGGCTGCCAAAAAAAAAAAGAAAAGAAAGGATCAGTGTTTCTATTTTAATGATCTTTTTTGCTGAAAACAGTACTTGTGATGCTTAGTGTAGATTTTATTGTCAATTCAGTTTACTGTGCATTTTGCCAGTAGTTTGGCTTATTAGATTGCTTTTAGGTGCCTTAATTAATCATTAGAATTTTGGTAGTATGTAAACTCATCTTAATTTGGCTTTTGTGCATATTTAATGGTTTCTTTCTCATTGTAAGTGTATTCGGCTACCGAAAAAACGTAAAGAGAAGAAAGAATCTTGTTTTGTATCGTGCATTTTGGGCAGAATTTTTGTTTTGTTTTAAGTATTGTGTATAGTAATAGCTTTCAAGTTTGTGCTTTATAGTTGAATTGATTTGGCTTTTGCTTTCATGTCAATCAGTTTTATAAGGCTTACTGTTTCTCATTAGTTCTGATAGTGCAGATTTATAAACTAGAGACTCTTTGGTGTGGTCTTAGAACACTTTAGCACGCTAAAGACAAGTGATCTGAATCATTTTATTTTCTTATACTCATGTTTTTTTAATTTTGATGATTTTAATTTAGTTAATTCGCTCTCTTTTTTTTTCTATTGGCATTGAAAGGTTTGGCTGAAGTTATGAAATCTATCATTTTATTTTCTTATAACATAGTCAACATTGTTAGGAAAATTCAGAAATTCTAAAACTACTAACATGAGCTTCAAAAAGCAAATAGAGCTATAAAATTCTCTATAATTTTAGGTTTAGAATGTATACAATAAGGGGAATAAAGTTGGAATGGAATATTCTAGTATTGTATTATACTAAAATATTCTTTATTCTTATTAGTATGGACCCAACAAATTGCACCTTCCTGTTAACGTAGAGTGATTAGATGATTACACCTTTAGGTTAGCTCAATCCACTCCCCTAGGTTGTTGCCTCATATGTCGAGCCACCTCGTCGGTCATTAGTGGTTATAACAATCACCTATTTTCTCTTTTCAAAGCCCTTGAGTTTCAATCTTCACATGGGTCCTTTAGTGTTTGTTGAAATAGGTGAAATAAGTCCATGATGTATGTTTTGATTTTGCAATCGAAATTAGTGAAAAAATTCTCTCCTCATCTCTATATATTTTTTTCATGTCTTATGTTTTCATTTTGCATGTCATGTTTATAACTTATAACCAAATTATTTGTGCGATTATATGAATATCCAGTTATGTCACACCTTCATTTTTTTAATTTCATACGCTGTTTAGTCATTTAAGATTGTTTTTTTATCTCAATCTTCTTCCTTTTTAAAGTGCTTTGTGCTCATTTTCAATTTTAGAAATATTTTCATTAATATCGGTTTTCTGTCTGTATATTACCATTTTAATCTTCTGTCAGTGCCATGTCATTCTCCCTTGTAGATGAATTAACAAAATACTTCCGATTATAGTTTTGTTTGGGATATAGCTTTCTTATTAGTTTTTAAAGCAATTTTTTAGTACAAAAAATTTTAGTTCAACAAATTTTTGTACTAAAAATTTATTTTTAAAAATAGCAAAAACGTTGTCCCGAATGAAGCCTAACCTACAGAATTTCTTGCCCGCTGATCTTTATTTGTTTGAGATGTCACCATGCTTGTTTGTTTTGCATATGTGCTTTGGATGATTTGTCTATTTTCTTGCTATGATATTGAATATAACTTCAGAATTTAAGAATTTGTTGATTTTTTAGTAGTTTTTTTTTGTAATTTGTTGTTAGTTTGTTTGTTTATTTATTTATTGGGCTCATCTTCTTCTTCTATTATGAAAATTAATCACTGATCACCTGAGTTAGGCTTCATTTGGAACGGCTTTATTATTGTTTTTAAAAAAAGCTTTTTAGTACAAATATTTTTTAACTAAAAATTTTTGTACTAAAAAACTGTTTTAAGAAACTGTAGAAAAACTGTCTCAAACAAAGCTTAAATTTTTTTATATTAAAGAGCTATTTTAAAAAGCAGCAAGAAATCTATCCCAAAACAAATCCTTAAATGCTGATAAAAATCATCACTTCAACCTGAAGCTTATTTGTCTTATATCCTTTCTCAGTATTTCAATACTGTCCATCTTTCTATTATTTTTTCTGTTTGTCTGGCATCAATCTGGCTTTTACATCTAAATTATAGAGCTGCAATAAGCATATTGTTCTGGATCTTTTCTCAATAATAAATGTGTTGTTGTTGCTACTTGAAAGCAGGTCATTAGGTAGATTTTCAGTTTCCCTGTTAAAAATTGTTTCTTTCTGCTTTTTTTGTTTGGGAATCTATTGCACACATGTGATGGCCTCTGTGTTGATTCAAATGGAAACTGTATTCAAGACTCTGTGATGTGATAATCACTGGAGACAACTTAGGCAAGTTCCTATTATTTTTAGGCAAATCTGAAGGCAAAATCTTTTTTTTTTTTCTCAGTTAATAGAACTCTCAGCTGGACGAGTATTTTCTAATTTTTTTTTGATGTTTTTTGTTATAGTTTCTGAATATGCATTTAGGTTTTATTTGTGACAGCTTTTTATTATTTTTTGAAGCAGTTTTTTAGTACAAAATTTATTTGTGTGATAATTTTTTTACTACTTTAAGAAGCATTAAGAAAGCCGTTTCAAATGAAGTCTTAGGCTTCGTTTGGGGCGGTTTTTTTATTGCTTTTTAAAGCAATTTTTTAGTTCAAAATTAAAATATTTGTACTAAAAAATTGCTTTAAGAAACACCAAAAAAGCCATCCCAAGTCTTCGTTTGGGACAACTCTCTTACTGTTTCTTAAAGCAGATTTCTATTAGTATTAGGCTTCGTTTGGGAAGGCTTTTTATTGTTTATTAAAATAAAATTTTAGTACAAAAATTATATGAAACGAAGTTTTAGGTTTCGTTTGGGACGGCTTTCTTACTGCTTCTTAAAGTAGCTTTTTAGTACAAAAATTAATTATTTTTTACTAAAAAGCTGATTCAAGAAGTAGAAAGAAAGCGGTCCCAAACGAAGCCTAAGCCTTTGTTTGGGACGATTTTTTTATTGCTTTCTAAAACGGAATTTTAGTTTAAGAATAAAAAATTTTGTACTAAAACTCTGTTTTAGAAAGCAATAAAAAACCGTCCCAAACGAAACCTTAATCTTTACATGCATTGCTTTCTTTCCCATGGTATTTTTTGTAGCCTATTGAAGAACTTGTAACAGAGAAAGTTTTTCCTGAATTGCAGCTTGTGCTGCTTAAGTATCTTATCTGTAAACTATTTTAAGATTGTAGTGTTTTCAATAAAATGATCTATGCTTCGAATTAAGGAAATAAACCAAATTGAGGTGATTGCACTTACATAATGTGTCATTTGATTGAATATATTGATTATTGACAGCTTAGCTTGTTTCGATTGAAAAAAAAATAAAAAACATTTAGACTGTTCTCTGCTAACAGCTTATGCCACTGCTGGCGAGTAGCAGTGTTTGACAAATCTTCGTTGGATCTTTTTTGTATTAAAGAGTTGTGTCTACTACAGTTTTATTGGCAGTTTTATTGCAAAGTAGAAATGACCAAATCAATTATTTCATATATATATATATATTAATAAAAAAGAATTCTGGCAAAATATGTTTAATTTTAATAGGGTTCTAACTTGTGAGGTGGCTCGAATCCGAGCCTATACTTAAGCTCAAGTTTGAATTTAGTCTGACTTGACTTATAAGCTTATTGAGCTGCTTTTTTAATTTAAAATATTTAAATTTTAATTAAAATATCATCATATAATATATTTTAATCTTTTAAAATTAATTTTATAATACAAATAAAAATTTTAACTTAAAGTTATGAAATATAGCTCAATAATCAAGTCAAATTTAAGCTTTTCAAACAATTCTTTAGGTAATTTGTCTTTTTAATTTTATAATTAAATTATTATTTTTTAAAATATTCAATTATATAGTGAATTATCAATAATTTAATTAAATTTTTTTAATTAAGTTTTAATTTATTAGTTTAATTTAATTAAAAAAATAATTTGTAAAATATAAGATTATTTCATTAAAAATTAAACATTTCAAAATAGTTTGACAAGATTTTTTTCTCCCACTATCATCATCAGTAACTGAATCACCTGGCCTTTTGTCCATTTTATGCAAGCCCTCATTATTTATGCGAGCGGACAAAAGTCCTTTTAAATCAAAGCCCCCACGTGTCCGGCCCCCCTTCAACTACGAGCTACCCATCAATTTTAATAATGCCCAGACATCCTTCGATATCAACCGGTCCGACCATCTCCACAGGGGAATGCAGGTTGACGTGGCATCACATGGCCCGGGGTAATTTTGTCATTTTGTGTACCACCTGTGTTTCGTGTCGGTTTTCAGGTCGGGTGGGTCCTCGGGTCAATGCCACTCTAGATTATCTTTTTTGTGGGGGAATTTTCCATTGTCATAAACTGTTTATATTTATTTATATTTTATTTAAGTATCTAAAGATGAATTTTATTTTAAATAAATTAATATTAGTTATATGCATGTAATGTTTTTAATAAACATAAATTTAAATAAAAAGATATTTGATTTTAGAATTTTAGTTATGATTCTGATTTTTTTTATAAATTAAATTGGTTAACATTTTATCTGCATTGACTTTGGCTAAGAGTGTAAACGAGTCTAGTCGAGATCGAGTCATCTTTTGCTTGAGTTTCAACTTGATTCATTAATCGAGTTGAAACATGAGCCTAAGTTTTATTCTACAAGTTTGACCAACTCGAGTGCTGCCTCGTTTAATATGAATGAAAGAAAATAATTATGATCCAAACAAGTAGTATAATAAAATGATAAAAATGATGAGAAATTAATTAAAAAAATAAATAATCATAAAATATAAATTCAAAAAAATTTTAACAATACATTTAAAATCTTAAATATTAATATATTTTAATGGCATTTTATATTAATATCTTTTAAACAAGCCAGCTCACGATCTATCGAGTCAAGTCAGTGCTAGCAAAAGCTTGACTCGTTAGTTCATCGATCTAGACTCACGAGCCATTTATCGAGTCTAGTCCGAGACAGCTCACAAGTTGACTTGACTCATTTACCCCCATAACCTTAGCCATTTGTTTAAAGAGGAAACTAGAAATTATAGCGCTCAAACATGTAACACATTGG